TGGGGGGGGGGGCGCGGTGAGTGTGTGTAGGTGTGTGAATGTGTGTAGGTGTCTGTGAGAGAATGAGTGTCTGTGTGTGTGTGTAAGAGTGAGTGTGTGTGTGTAAGAGTGAGTGTGTGTGTGAGAGTGAGTGTGTGTGTGAGCATGTGTACGTTGTGAGTGTTTAGGTGTGTGTGTGAGTGTGTGTAGATGTGTGAGTGTGTGTAGGCATGTGAGTGTGTTGGTGTGTGTGTATGTGAGAGTGTATGTGTGTATCTGTGTGTATGTGTCTGTGAGTGTGTCTGCATGAGTGTGTGTCTGTGTGTGTGTCTATGTGTGTGTGTGTGTGTGTGTGTATGTGTTTCTAATAAGTGAAGCGAGGACTTTTCCGATCACGATGGGTCAGGGCTATTGTTAAACTGGGATGAATATTGGCCTGATTAATAAAACAAGATAGACGCTGTAAATTGAACAACAAAAAAGCTGTAAAGTTACGGAAACTCCTCTCAATGTTTTATTCATTGTTGGAATGTCTAACTTCTCTTTTTTTAACCAACTTTTGGTTAGGGTGATATTCTTTTTCCCTTTATTCGTTAATGGGCTGTGGGCATTGCTGGCTAGACAGCATTTATTGCCCATCCCTCATTGCCCAGAGGATAGTTAAGAGTCAGCCACATTGTTGTGGGTCTGGAGTCACATGTAGGCCAGACCAGGTAAGGATGTCAGATTCCTTCCCTCAAGGGCATTAGTGAACTAAATCGATTTTTCTGAAATGGATTCATTAACATCATTGGACTCTTAATTCCAGATTTTTAAAATTGAATTCAAATTCCACTATCTGCCGTGGTGGGATTCAAACCCTGGTCCCCAGAACATTACCTGGTCTCTGGATTAACAATCCAGCAATAATACCACTGGGCCATTTCCTCCCTTTCTCTATGAATGTTTTGAGGCCAATGTTCGTTATTTTTCTTTCCTTGACATAATTATGGATAAAGCAATGGAACGTACATTCTGAGAAAATGAGAAGCAGATAGGAAATAGACAACAGTCAAATGCGGTTTCTGTGAGTAGAGAGGAATGTTGAGTGATGTCCCAAAGGTCTCTATACTGGACCTTCTCCTCTTTACACCAGAACAAATGAATAAAAATTAGCATCGACTTTCATTGCATCCAGTTCATCGCTAAGGAGAAGGCATGGGGAAGTTGAAAGGTCTGAAGGTGAATAAATCATCTGGACCAGGTGGACTACACCCCAGAGCGCTGAAGGAAATAGCTGAGGAGAATGTGGAGGCATTGGTGGTGATCTTTCAGGAATCACTGGAGTCAGGGAGAGTTCCAGAGGAGTGGAAAATGGCTAACACCCCTGTTTAAGAAGGGAGGCAGAAGATAGGAAATTCATAGGCTGGTTAACCTGACCTCTGCCGTTGGTAAGATTTTGGAATCCATTACTGACAATGAGATTGCAGAATGCTTGGAAGGGCATGGTAAAACAGGGCTGAGACAGCATGACTTTGTCAAGGGGAGGTCATGCCTGACAAATCTGTTCGAATTCTTTGAGGAGGTAATGAGTAGGCTAGACAAAGGAGAGCCAGTGGATGTGATCTATTTGGATTTTGAGAAGGCCTTTGATAAAATGTCACACAGGAGACTGTTAAATGAGAATACAGCCCATAGTGTTAGGGGCAAAGTATTAGCATGGATAAAGGATTTCCTGACTGGTAGAAGACAGAGAGTGGGGTAAAGGATTCTTTATCAGGATGACTAGTGGAGTTCCACAGGGGTCATTTTTGGGGCCACAACTGTTCACATTATACACTAACAATCTGGATGGAAGAACTGAGGGCATAGTTGCTAAGTTCACAGGTGGTACAAAGGTAGGTGGAGGGATAGGTAGTGTTGAGGAAGCAGGGAGGCTGCAAAATAACTTGGACAGGGTAGGAGAGTGGTCAAAGAAGGGGCAGGTGGAACACAATGCGGGAAAGTGTGAAGTTAATGCACTTTGGTAGGAAGAATTTTCTAAATGGAGAAGGCACCAGAAATCTGAAGCACATCGGGGCTTAGGAATCCTAGTTCAGGATTCTCTTAGGGTTAATATGCAAGTTTAGTTGGCAGTTAGGGAGGCAAATGTAATGTTAACATTCATTTCAAAAGGGCTGGAATACAAGAGCAGGGATGTAATGCTGAGTCTGTATAAGGCTTTGGTCAGACCACATTTGGAATATTGTGAGCAGTTTTGGGCCTCATATCTCAGGAAGGATGTGCTGGTGTTAGAGTGGGTTCAGAGGAGTTTTACATAAATGATCCCGGGGAGAGTTTTACACAAATGATCCCTGGGATGAAGAGCTTGTCATAACAAGGAACGGTTAAGGACTCCGAGTCTGTACTCAACTGTGCTTTGAAAGGTGAAGGGGAAGTCTCTTTGAAATGAACACAAAATTGAGAGGACTGGATAGAGCGGACAAGGAGAAGATTCTTCCACGAGTAGGAGAGGCTATTAATGAAGGCAGAATGAAGGGACAACCTTTTAGAACTGAGACAAAGAGAAATTTCTTCAGCAGAGGTTGGTTAATCTGTTGAACTCATTGCTGCAGGATGGTGTGGAGGCAAAGTCATTGAGGGTATTTAAGACAGAGATAGATAGGTTCTTGATAAGTAAGAGGATCAAAGGTTACAGGGAGAAGGCAGGAGAACGCGCTTGAGAAACCTATCAGCCCTGGTCAAAAGGCAGAGCAGACTCGATGGGCTGAATGGCGTAATTCTGCTCCTATATCTTATGGCCCTTGTAGAATGCATTGTAATGTAGTGTATGGGGAACTGGCTGCTCATTTAGATCATGTCTTATGTTATACTGTATTCCATATAATACAGGGTATGCAAAATCAAACTGGTCTTGGCCAAGTTGAAAATCCCACTGTTTGATCACGATATTTGGCAAAAAAAGCAAATGGTGAACATTTAGTGTGTCAGAAAACCCTGAAATAAGGCAGAGATGCCATCGACAGATTAAACACATTTACTCACAGTAAGCGTTCCAGTTCCTTTACCCTTAACTTCGATGCTAATGTTGTATCCAAGTGGGAACTAATATGAGACAAAATACGTTACATCTTCTGTTAGAACATTTATTATTCAATAGACATTGTTGATTTTATTATGAGTGTAACATACATGAAATAAACTCTACTGCCATTCGGTCCTTGTTGAAATTTAAACATAGTCAGACTTTTTTTTTTACACAGACGTGGAATGAACTGCCAGAGAATTAGAATTAGAATTATTGTCACATATACTCAAATGAGTACAGTGAAATGTTTATACATCACCATTTAACAGTGCCATCTTAGGTACAAAACTACCTAGGTACAGTTACTTCAGTTACAAGAATTTAGAAAATAGAGAATTAAAATTTCCAGCATTGCAGAAATAAAAGTTCAGAACAGCGATCTTCCAACCCACTCTCAGCTGGCACTGAGCCTCAGTGTGACTGCAGGGTACAACATTTTAAAAAAAAACATGTATAGGAAAGTTTTGGAGGGATATGAGCCAAACGCAGGTTGGTGGGACTAGTTTGGTTTGGAAACATGGTCGGTGTGGTCTGTCTCCTTGCTGTATGTCTCTGTGATTCAATTTCATTCATTGTTCAAGAGGATTTTCTTGAACCGTGCACTAGTTTCTCATGCAGTGCAATAGTGACTATGTTTCGAAAGTGCCCGACTGTCTGTGGAGAGCCTATGGATGACTTGAGGACGTAATCTGGTGGTTATTCATGGAGCAGGGAGTTGGGGATATGGGTGTGCGGTTGGGAGGGTGGCATGGTTGGTTGGCACTGTTAGTCACCCAGCCACACCAGAAATTAACAGCAAGACAATACTGGGTAAACATTCGGGTAAGTATTGTGCAATGGGTCCAAGCCTCAGGTGCTGAGCTCTTCCGATTGAATCCTCACCTTTAACTCGTCCTGGAGCAGGGCGTTCCTCTGCTGTATATTGAGGACTTGTTTCGATTTCTGCTTCGGATGGCTGAATGTGAAATGCAGGTCTAACTGCTCAGGCTGAAAAGTAGCGATGCTGTATTCCGACAGAGCTTCCAGGGCAACCACTGTATCCTTCCCGAAGAGCAGAGACAAACATATCAGTTATTTGTAATCGACCTATTCCGGCTCAGTTAGACTGTCCCCTGGCTTCACATCCTGACATGGGTCCAGACCTACTGTCCCTGAGATAGGGATATTACCACTGCATCATGAGGCCCTTAAGACGAGAACATCTGTCTGGCAGGTGAATCCTGTCCCAAATACAAGCAGCATTCTCTAAACTCCATGCAGGAAGTGCGCATTAGACAATGTCCATAGAATATTTTTGCAATTACTCACATCTTAGTGAAATAACAGGAATTAGAATTTTTATCTCCCCAGGGGGAGTTTAAAGCTAATTTTTAAAAAAAAATTCATTCACCTCTCATTCATTCAATCTCTCATTTAAAAGAAACAAGGCCAAAATAAATCACTCAGAGGTAACAAGAACTGCAGATGCTGGAGTCAGAGGCAACACAGTATGGAGCTGGAGGAACACAGCAGGCCAGGCAGCATCAGAGGAGAAGGA